ATATATATATATATATATATATATATATATGCATTATTAATACAAGATGGTTCTGAACGTTTCATACAATCAGACTTTGAGATATTTTATAGAAAATTTAATTGTCTACAACTTCTTTTCGGTACCTTCTTTTTTAAAAACGCATACATTCCATGATATTGCTTTTTTAGACTTTTACTGGTATTATTTTCAAAGATACCAGAAAGTTTGCAGGTTATTCCCGTGTTTTTATTCATTATTTGTTAATCCCAACGTTTCATGAACCTTGCCATTTACTTTATCATGGCGCACTGATTCTATGATATTTGTAAAAATGTATAAAATAATCGTGATTTCAGAGGCGATAACTTGTATCTTTTGACCTATGTTTATAGGAAACTATTTGTTTGAAATTAAATTTCCTATAAAACCTTGCAGTCTCTCTGGAATGTCTGAATTTGAGGCCACTCTATATGCATAGTATATTTATAGCAAGAAATTTATTTATTTTGTGCACAAGCTACTTTTATACAATTAATTTATATAAAAATTAACTGAGTAGATAGGCCAAGAAAACAAGTAAAGGAAAGATTTTAATTTAAACTAGTATATTATCTCACAATTAACTAATATTCGATTAACTAGTATCTTATAAAAAACCGTGGAATTAAAAATATTTTTTTCTTTATAAATAATTTAGATTACTTTGAAATTCTAAAAGATTGAAGCGCATAATTTTCTTTTCATATTACACTGTCCGATAAAATATGATTTCTTTTTGTCTTTGGCATGTGTGAAGTGTTATTTTTCGAAGATTTTTAGCTGCTGGATTTGAATCCGTGCTCAGAAAAATTCTATTACATCACATTTCCGAAAAATTCGGAGCAGCAAAAAACAACGATTTTAGCCATATTGACTGGTATTGCGGTTAAAGAAATTTAATTTTGCTAGTTTTGTCTACATTATCTTAAAGTGTCATTTTTTTTATCTTTAAAGTAAATTTTGTTTGTTTCTATGGTTTTTTTTTATAATAAAGTGGGTTTTAAACTATCACTGTCCGATGTTCACTCGGAATAACATACTAATTTCATAGTCTTCCATATTTTGTTTCCAGAATGTCCTCGAAACATATAGACACCTGCCGAATGTAATTCTGTTGGAGGAAAATCAATATAAATTGTTTACCCATTTGGATTTTTTATGGGCCATTGATGTTAAAACCCTACTATACGATCGTTTAATAGAACTGCTTCAGAACTTTGACAGTCACATATGGACAATCGATGATAAATTAATCTATGTCTAATACTTTCTTGTTAAAAACATTTTATTTATTTATTTTCAGATTATATACCCATTTTTTTGAAAAAAAAATTAATATTAAATTACTGACCAGAAAAGCAAATTATTTTTTATACAATTGAAAAATGTTATTCCTTATTAATGCAATAATAGATACTTATACGTATGCTGCTCCTACGAAAAAAGTTTCTTTCCAAAACTAGCAATATATCATTTAAGAAATGCATTTAATTAAAAAATAATATTAAATAAATATTATATTATCATTTTTAATTCTTTGTATAAAATTCTGCAGATTTTATAGAATGTGGGTGGCCCTTTCAATTTTTATTCTTCTTTTTCTATTCAATATTCAAGCAATTTATTTTCACGTGATTTTTTTGTATACATTTATCCGTTTTTTATTAGTTACTTTTAGTTTATCTTATTTCTCTTGCGTGAAATACTTTATTGACTAATTATATTTATTTCATATCCGTTTTTGATTAAGAAGAATATATTCAACACCTTTTTTTAAGCACGTAAATTTCGACGTAAATTTTTTTTCTTTTTTTAAAAAGATTTTTTTAGGTCCATTATA